AGCAGACACATCATATTAGGTCCTCATTAGATACACTGCAGCCTAGCAGTTCAGAGATGGTGGGTGATTCTAGTATAAAGTCATGCAAGGATCTCTCCTAACAACTTCCTACCACATCATGCTGTACCTAGGAGAATTTAGCTTGGATTTCACACAACCTGGATTGGTTGGGTACCACCACCATAATTTTTAGGGAATGTTCAGGTGAAATGAGTGTAAGGGGAATCATGCCTGAATGAGAGGTGTAAATCAAAGGTCATGAGGTTATAGACAACTGACTGAAATTGCCCATGTTTGTGTTTTCATACAGCTGGACAACCCAGATGAGCAAGCAGCCCAGATCAGACGGGAATTGGATGGACGTCTCCAAATGGCAGACCAAATAGCCAGGGTAAGGAAACTTGAGGGCCATTTACTGGGAAACAAGGCTGAAGTCCCACACAGGAGACACGTTAATTCTTAAGGGTCTTCTGAAGATAAAAATTTAAGTCCTTGCCTACTAGCCAAAAGGTTGGCAGCTCAAATCCACCTAGAGAAGACTCAGAAGAAAGGCCTGGTGATATGCCTCTGGAAAAGCCCTGAGGAGCACACTTCTACTCTGACAGACCCGTGGTCACCGTGAGTCTGAAATGAATTGACAGCAGTTGATGTTGTTGTTGTTGTTGTTGTTGTTGTTGTTGTTGTTGTTGGAAGTAGATGTCAGATGCATACAGGAGGATAGATGGGGACACTTTTCCCGGTGGGGCCTTCCTCTACTTCTTTCCATTCACGCTTTCCAGAAGACAGCCATGCTTCAGGGAACACCCACACTCTCCCTCTACCGCCCTTCTCCTTTCCACACTGCTGTTGGCAACTGCCTGAAGAATCTCCACTTAGATAGTCCTTTCTGATGGAATGTGTTCAAAAGTCGGGCTTCTTACTTATCCCCCTCCTCCCACCACACACCCCTACGTTTTCCCTTTCTCGGTTATTCTTGGTCCAATGAATGCGATCAAAACAGTCTCTCCTTCCTTTTCCCAACAATTCACACTCACCCAGCCACTTAGACTCCTTGACGCTGCCCATCTCTTTGCTGCTCTCCAACAACACTGCCAGGGCTGCGAATCAGTTCCCCATGCTCAAAGCCTGGATTTTGCCATCACTTCCTAGCAGAGATTCCTGGCTCTACTCGCTTCCCCTGTCCTGTCCATCCTGAGGGTTGTTGCTAATTAGAACACATATATGAGGGATATATTATCTGGAATTAATCTGAGAACCAGTTTGCAGAAAGCAAATCCCCGCTTAGATGAAGCCTCTATTGAATTCCCTCAGACCATTGATCAGGATGTTAATAGTCTTCTCCTCAGACTGAGGGCATTGGAAGAAACTGGATTACTGCACATATAGTTCGGTTAAAATTTAACATGTTATTATTTGTTTTCCCTTTTGACCCATTTTTAATTTGTTTTCATTTCTATTGTCTTTGCTTTCACTTAGATT